ACCAATTCAAGAACACTTGAACTGGAAGCCATCTCCTCTACCACCATTCTAAGATGCCAACTAGGCCCCATACCATTGTCAACTATACTAAATATTTGAAGAAAACAGAATTTTAATTTTTACACTTACATACAGGACTTTTTATATAAACAAGCCTAGAATATTTGAAGCTGCATGCTCCTCCAAGTAAGTATTACTGATCAATAGTCTTACGACCTCATCCTGGATTCATTTTTCACTTGGACAAAGTTATGATTGCAATATGTACTAATTTTGCTGGACATGGGGCAGCAGCAACTCTATAACAGATTGAGAAGGTTCCTGCAAATCATTCTAAGATTCGCAGTTTCAGTGTGAAGATCTTGTATACAAAACCACGTCATTTTAGAATGAACAGGTAACCAGCAACTTTAACAGGCAAACACAACAAGCAAGACTTTCTGTAAACACGACTGCGAACTCTCAGTTGTAAATAAGTAACCGGTGGCTATGGGGACTTAATCATCCAAGAGCAAAGTCCTAGCTGGGTAATTTTGTACAGTCTACTACTAAGTTACAACAGCAATTTACAGAGTTGTGGTGAAACTTTACTTTAGAAGCAGTGTGGGCAATTCCCGTCACTATACTTGGATTACTCATTTTGAAGAAAGGAGAATTTTCTATTTGACAATGTTGTATCTCCGAAGAGTTGCAGGGCATTATATTGGTATAATGAATCCTTTCAGAGCACTCATGCATTCAGTTAAAGCTGCAGGGGGAAGGTCTCCAAATGACCCTGGAAATAAGCAGCCCCCAAGAGGCTATTTCAGTCACTCGGGTATTCTTCTTTCCAAGCTGGGGACAGGACTACTGCTCTCCACCTCTGCCTGCTACATTAAAAAAAAAGGAAAAGAAATAAAAAGGCAAATGATGAAATCTGCCTTTACTGATGTCTGCAGCCCCATTCTAGCACTTTGTTTTCTCATGGTGGATATTTACTGATCCCTGTGGTAATTCTGCTTGTGGATTAAGGTAAGGTCAAGGACAAATTCCATCTCCGGAAACCTACTGCTTATAGTTCCAAGTCTGTATCTTAAGTTGTTGTGTGGCATTATTGTACATTATAAAACAAACAAACAAACATGCTTAGAGCTCAGTGATCATGTCAGCAACACATGGAGGAAAAGTGCAAGAATCTCTAGTTACTTAGCTCCGATAAATCTCAAAAGCAATAGGGTTGAAAGAAAGTAGAACATAAAACATGCATATAGGTACATACATGTATCTATAAAAAACTTTTCAGAATTACCTAGAAAGCTGTTTCTGGAAATGGTAATGTTAAAGGCTTAGCCAAAGACTTCCACCTGAGAGACAGATCTCATTGTTTAAAAACATGAAGACATTAAGTATGTAGTCAAGATGGTCCTAAAAATCATTTGGCAGCTACTATCATTAAGTGATTTTACAACATCTGCTTAATAAATCAGGTAAGTGCAAAACATTAGGAAAATACAAGCCATTACTTATGTAACTTATTTACAAAACTTAATATGGATTTACAACACAGTTGAGCTCCCAAGGGTTTATTGACAACGATCTTGAGGACAAGTTAGAAACCATT